GGGCCTTCCGCGAGCCTCGCGGCCTTCCGCGTCTTGTCCAAGACGTCCTTGGTCGACTTGTTGGCGGCCTAGACGTCGGTGCGTACACTGCACCTTACGTTTTCTCTGTGCTGCTCGAGCGGCACTACACGAATCTATTTGGTCGGCGCCTCTAGTGCAGCCTGTTGTTTGGCCAGCCTGGGCGTGTCAACGACGCTGGCCTCCTTTGGTGGCGTGGCTATCCACCAAGGGTTTCACGGCACGGCTTCACTGGATTGGTTTCGGTCCCGCGTGTGCGATGCTACGTGTGTTGCGCTTGTCATGACCAATCTAGGTCTAGCGTTTCATCCATTCGCATTCAGACACGCTCATGTCCAGCCAAGTCGTACTCACACTCGGACGCGCACTTGGATTTACTCACGCTCAGACTCACGCACACCTAGACTCGGACTCGTCCACAGATAGACTCGCTCACGAACTCTTTGTTGAGACCCCGGGGTCACCGCGATATAGCAGGCGTGGCACTTGGCCACCCCAAGGAGGAGGTGCCAGGCGGCATGACATTTGCCCGTTCGCTGCCAGATTGCGGGGATGCCTCAGAGGGGTTGCGCGCGCTTGATTGATATGACACCTTTGTTTGATAGCCCAGTGATCACCGCTATATCGCAAACGTGGCACTTAGGTTCCCCAAAGAAGAGCTGCCAGGGGACACTACACTTGCCCGTTCGCGGCCAAATTGCGGGGATGTCTGACTCGTCTCGTTTGAGAACCCAGGGATCCCCTCGATATATGAGGTGTGGCACGCGGTCACCCCAAGGAGGAGCCAGCAGGGGGTATGGCACGTGCCCGTTCGCTGCCAGATATTTGGGAAGCCTCGGATGGTGTACACAGTTGGCTGATTGGGTTGATGTGTTTGGAGAGCCCCGTGATCCCCGCGATATAGCAGGCGTGGCACTTGGCCACCCCAAGGATGAGCTGCAACGGGGGTGACACTTGCCCGTTCGCTGCAACATTGCGGGGATCTCTGGCAATTTGCGCGTGCTTGGTTTTCTGTTTGAGGGCCCAGTCATCACAGCGATATTGCAGGCGCGGCACTTGTGCACCACAAGGAGGTGCCGCCAGCGGGTATGACACTTCCCCGTTCCCTGCCAAATTGCAGGGAGGTCTTAGGCGGTGTGCGTGTTTGGCTGGTCAGGTCCATCCCTCTTGGGAGCCCAGTGATCAACGCGACATACCTGGCGTGACACTTGGGCACCCCAAGGAGGAGCCGCCAGGGGGTGTAACACATGCTCGTGTACGGCCAGATTGCGGGGATGTCGCAGGTGATTTGCGCCTCTGGCTGATCAGACTCATCCCTCTTGAGACCCCAGTGATCACCGTGATCTAGCAGGCGTGGTCTGTGGGTACCCCAAGGAGGAACGGCACGGGTGTATGGCATATGCCCGTTCGCTGCGAGATTGCGGGGACGCTTCATGGCATCTGCGCGTTTTGTTGATCGGCCCCATGTTTCCTGAGAGCCCAGAGGTCACCGCGGTATAGCCGGAGAGGCACTGCGGCACCCAGAGGAGGAGCCGCCAGGGGGTATGATTTTTGCCCGTTCGCGGCCAGAGTGGGGGGAAGTCTGGGGCGGTTTGCGCGTTTCGCTGATCCGACCCATCTCGCTCGAGAGCCTCGTGAGCACCGCGGCATAGCAGGCCTCAGGGTCGTGCTTCGGCGCGTATCCACTGGGACGTACTCGCGCGCTTCTCGTGGGTCGTGCGTCGGCGCGTAGCCACTGGGACGCACGGTCTTTTCCTCTGGCTTCGTTTCCTATTCTCTCCACTGTCCGTCTCTTCTCCTTCTCATTCTCTCCTTTTTCCTCTTTCGTTTGGACGTGTTCCGCGCCTTCCCCGTCTCTGTCCTCCCCTCCTTTCTCCCCCTTCTCTTGCATGTACATCTCCCCGCTTCCCTGTTGTCATCTCTTCTCCTTCCCCGCGCCTCGCGTGCTCGCACACGTGATCAGTCCCACTCCTAGTCTCAGCCGCGCACACACAGCCCCCACTCGCGCATTTGAATCACACTCGGACCCTCACATGATCAGAGGAGGAGGAAACGAGGAAATGAGGAGGGAGAGGGAGGAGGAGAGGAGGAGGAGGAGGAGGAAGAGGAGGAGGAGGGAGGAGGAAGAGGAGGAGTAGGAGGAGGAGGAGGGAGACTAACTCACACCCGACGTTGCAGGCGTGACAATTGGGCACCCCAAGGAAGAACCGCCAGCGTATGCCACGGGCCCGTTCGCGGCCAGACCCTGGGGATGTCTCAGGCAGTTTGCGCGTTGCTCGGACTCATCTCTTTTGGGAGCCTCATGCTCGCAACGATACATATATATAACCTTCCCCCACTATTTCCAGTGCCCGCCCACATACACCCACCCATTCACCCACCAGCCACCACAGCCCGCCAGCACCCACTTTGCTTCTGCACCCTTGCCAGTCTAAACCACAGGGGACCTTCGTCTCCCTTGTCAACTAAACGTCTGCTTTGGATCTGCACGGCATGCGTCCACTCCCTCTCGATAAAACTCCCCGTCTCGCCCGTCATCTACCTCCTGCGCGGAGCGAGGTCGTCCTTGCCGAGACCAGGGCGATGCAGTTGATGCGCGAAGGCCCGTTCGCAACTGCAGAACAAACTTGAGATAAGTGGGAAGCCGAAGCGACGACGGCAAGAGCAGCAATAGCCTCCTCCTCCTCCTCCTCCTCCGATGAGAAGTGCGTGCAGGTAGCGACACAAGCTCAGCCTTCTCCCCTGGCTTGCCGCACCCTTGCGTCGCCGACTGAGGAGACCACCAGGGCCACCAGCGCTCTTCACCACGGAGCTGCAAGCTCACACCCGCGCTTCCCCAGAGCTCCGATGTCGTGCTCTTCCTAAAAACAGCTTATCTGTAGGGCTCGGCTGTTGAAGAGACTCGTAGGTGCGCTGCCGGATCCGGAATCGGTCGGGCGGCGTCGTCTCCCACTGTCTCCCGTTATCCCCCATTGTTTCCCGCTGTCTCCAAGAATCGATCCGGCTTTATATCCCTGTCCTTATGTTTATCTTTAGCTCTATCCCTACCCCTCTGCTCTCATCCCCACCCTTCTCCCTGTCAGTTTTTACCCTGCCCTATATTCCTATCGACATCCCGATCCCTACCCTGACATCCCTAACCCTGCATCCCTGTTTAGATCCCAACCCCCACATCGTGACCCCCACATCGTGACCCCCCTATCGTGACCCCCCATCGTGACGTTGTACAGCTGTCTGGGGTCTTCTGCCGCAAGAGCGTCATTGTCACAACGTCGACCCCCACAGGTCTGGACCCTTTCCCTGGGGCCGGTTTCTCGTCTGGGGCCGTTGTCCAACGGTCCCGAAGCCTGACGAGGGCCCCGGAAGGCAGAACAAAAAAATTAGCCTGGTCGATCGGGTACATATTGCTGTCAAAAAGCACTCAGGCGGGATCGGCTGCTGAGTCTCATCTTGATAGGTGCTGTCGGCTTTCCAAACTTAACTCGAGCTGTAGTAGAGCTACAGAGCTGACGGCGAAGAACCCAACCACATGTAGATGCGAGTGCCGCAGTTGCGGGCACGGTCTGAGGTGGACCTCCCTCTGAGGCAGCGCCCGCTTGCGGGCCTCGCTGGGGCCTTCGGCGGTGCTCCCTGTGGAGCCGCGGAACGTATGAGGGGCGTGCCGAAACGGGAGTGGCGCCCACGTGCGGGCTGCGCCACTGGGACCCAAGGTAAAGCTTTCTGTGGGGCCACGAAGCGCGCGAGGGGTGGGCCGAAACGGGGGCGGCGCCCGCATTCGGACCGCGCCACTGGGACCCCCGCTGGAGATTCCCATGTGGCCACGAAACGTGGGAGGGGTGTGCTGAAAGGGGAGTGGTAACGATGATGGTGATGATGCCGGCCATGACGATACTGATGATGATGATGATGATGACGATGACGATGACGATGACGATGATGATGATGATGGTGGTGGTGATGATGATGATGATGACGATGACGATGATGATGATGATGATGATGATGATGATGATGATGATGATGATGATGATGATGATGATGATGATGATGATGATGATGATGACGATGACGATGATGATGACGATGACGATGATGATGATGATGATGATGATGATGATGATGATGATGATGATGATGATGATGATGATGATGATGATGAGCGAAGGGGCAACGGGAGGAGGAGGAAGAGGAGGAGGAGGAGGTGACGCGGGATGTTGCCTTTTCCAAATCGAGGACCCAAGACCATAGGATGGTCGGGAGTGAGAGAATCCCGCCGTTTTTGTCGACAAGAAGAGGTAGGGATCAGAGGAAATCGAGCTCGACACCAGGCAAATTCAGGTCGGATGGAGACACCGCACTAACGAGACGCAATAGCTCGGGAGGGGGCGTCCGCTGGCACAGGAGGGACGCAAGGCTCCCAGGCATCACCGTGACGTGGCACGATTGACTGATTCCAGAGCCTTCCCGGAGCTGTTCGAAGGGCTGTGAAGCGGCCGTGGCAATCGATACACCCTCTGTCTTCACAACAATGACTGGCTCCGTTGCCGCAGGAAAACCACCCCTCTCCCCCACCTTTCCCCTTCGCTTGACCCATTCATTCCCCCGCGCGCCCAGCTTGATGACAGCCAGGCCAGTGCCCCGTTCGGGTTGAGGGCACCCGCGCAGGGTGGTGTGCGTCGCAGGCGCAGCCTTTTTTCTCCGATGTCTAGGCAGGCATGTCCCCTCTTGGGTGGTCGTCCAGCACTCCGTTCCTAATGGAATGGATCGCATGTGTCCCTGATGTCCCTTCTTATCGTCAGCACCCTCGTCATCGCCTCCTTCCGCCGCTGCCGATGTCCTCATCGGTGTCGCCATCACCTGGGTCATTTGCACACTACTACTTGACAGCTGTTGTATGCTATCGTGTTTGGCTCACGCGGCGAAGCGGAAGGGCGCGCGGGACACTCGGTGGCATCTGATCGAAATTTGTTGCCGCTGGAGCCATGGCCGAAGGCAGCAACGGCCAAGGCACGACGCGCGCAGGCATCCGCAGTTGTCCGCCCAGTCACGCCGCAGTGCTGCCCGCGCTGCTGTCGGAGCTCGAGGCCGAGATGGATGGGCTGCTGGCGGCTCAGACGTCGGTGCTCAACGATTCAACGCAGATCGCCACTTCACAGATGGTGCGTTCCAAAAACAGCTTTGCCTTCGAGGATCGAAGGAGTTGTCATTCTTCCTCCGCGGAAGGCGGCGGAAGGTCGGCGGAAGTAAACTGAGGCCGCCTCCGCTGGCTGAAGTCGGCAGAAGCTCGGCGGAAGCTCGGCGGAAAGCGGCGGAAGTGAAAGATGTGCCCCCAAGAGATGAAAACTATTTTGGGTTCAGGGTTTCCGAAGTCGCCCATATCGTTCGGGCTTTGGACGACCTATCGGTCTTTCGATCAATCGATCACTCCGTGCCACTGCACGGGTTGATCGGGGTCTGGGCGATCCATCGGCATTTAGATGAATCGATCGCCCCGCGCTTGCGAGTGAACTGGGCCGGCTGGATCGGGGTCGGGGCCGAGCAGCTTCAGATCAGCACGGATTGGGGTCAGCCCTTCCTGAGGCTGACGACGCAGCACCACGAGCTCCGGAGCCAGCTCCGAGCATTCGCTACCAGGGCTGCTACAGGGCAGTGCTCCGGGACTGCCCAGGAGACCTTCCGCCGGGACTCCACGGCAAGCGTCGAGCTCGTGCGCGACGGTCTCAGCCCCGAGATAATGGACGTGCCGATGCCCGGCCATTGCTATGAGGATCCTGGGGGAGGGCCAGAACTGTCAGCCAGACCTCATGGTTGGCCCTTCCAATCTTTCTGTGCACTTCAGGTTTGGCTTCGGCTTCAGCTGTGGGTGCACCGCAAAGCGCCTTTTGGCCAGCTCACCCGAATTAGTTGTTCTTGGCGGCGAGCCTGGGAGGGGAAGTCAGAAGGGGCGGGCCTTCTCAGACGGCTCGGAAGTCCCCTACTTCGAAGACACAGACAGCCTCCCAGAAGGCTGGAGGCCTTCTGAGAAGCCCCGCCGCTTTCTGAGCAGGCCTTCTCCTCCTCACTTCCCCCCCTCGCTCGCCGCCGAGAGGGAGGAGGAGGGCGAAGAGAGGGGCGGAGGAGGGAGGAAGGAGGAAGGAGGGAGGAGGAGGGAGGAGGGAGGGAGGAGGGAGGAGGGAGGAGGAGGGTGTCTTGGGTGGAGGAGGAGGGAGGAGGAGGAGGACGAGGCAAGACCACCTCCCTCCTCCACATGGGTGCCCCCCTCCTCCCCTCGGAGGATCAAAGACCACCACCACCACCACCCGGGGGGCGCTCCAGAGCAAGCCTCGCCCTCGAGCGGTCGGGAAGCTGCGGCGCCCCTTCCTCGGCGGAAGCCGGCGGAAGCAGAACGAGGGCCAGTCCGTCGGCGAAGGGCTCGGCTGCGCGTACGATCGAAGAACGAAAAGCGGCATGAACAAGAACTTTTGGCGCTCCGCGCGGATTTCTTGGATCCGCGTTGGACCCCCCCCTGGCAGGCGCCGCCCCTGGCGCGCGGAGCGCGCCAGGGAGGAGGTTCAGCGCAGAGCCAAGAAATCCGCGCGCACCGCCAAGAGTTTATGTTTGTGCCGTCTTTTCTTCCTCCAGGCTACTCGGAAGAGTGACCTTTCGCTGGAGTGACCTTCCGCTGGAGTGACCTTTCTCTGGAGTGACCTTTCGCTGGAGTGACCTTTCGCTGGAGTGACCTGTCGCTGGAGTGACCGTTCGCTGGAGTGACCTGTCGCTGGACTGACCTCTCGCTGGAGTGACCTTCCGCTGGAATGACCTTTCGCTGGAGTGACCTTTTGCTGGATCGACCTTCCGCTGGAGTGACCTTCCGCTGGAGTGACCTTTCGCTGGAGTGACCTTCCGCTGGAGCGACCTTTCGCTGGAGTGACCTTTTGCTGGAGTGACCTTCCGCTGGAGTGACCTTTCGCTGGAGTGACCTTTCGCTGGAGTGACCTTTCGCTGGAGTGACCGTTCGCTGGAGTGACCTTTCGCTGGAGTGACCTTTCGCTGGAGTGACCGTTCGCTGGAGTGACCTTTCGCTGGAGTGACCTTTCGCTGGAGTGACCTTTCGCTGGAGTGACCTTTCGCTGGAGTGACCTTTCGCTTGATTGACCTTCCGCTGGAATGACCTTTCGCTGGAGTGACCTTCCGCTGGAGCGACCTTTCGCTGGAGTGACCTTTTGCTGGAGTGACCTTTTGCTGGAGTGACCTTCCGCTGGAGTGACCTCTCGCTGGAGTGACCTTCCGCTGGAGTGCCCTTTCGCTGGAGTGACCGCTCGCTGGAGTGACCTTTCGCTGGACTGACCTTTCGCTGGACTGACCTTCCGCTGGAGTGACCTTTCGCTGGAGTGACCTTTCGCTGGAGTGGCCGTCCGCTGGAGCGACCTTTCGCTGGAGTGATCTGTCGCTGGGGTGACCTTTCGCTGGAGTGACCTTCCGCTGGAGTGACCTTTCGCTGGAGTAACCGTTCGTTGGAGTGACCTTCCGCTGGAGTGACCTTCCGCTGGAGTGACCTTTCGCTGGAGTGACCTTCCGCTGGAGTGACCTTCCGCTGGAGTGACCTTCCTCTGGAGTGACCTGTCGCTGGAGTGACCCTTCGCTGGAGTGACCTTTCGCTGGAGTGACCTTTCGCTTGACTGACCTTTCGCTGGACTGACCTTCCGCTGGAGTGACCTCTCGCTGGAGTGACCTGTCGCTGGAGTGACCTTTCGCTGGAGTGACATTTCGCTGGATTGACCTTCCGCTGAAATGACATTTCGCTGGAGTGACCTTTCGCTGGAGTGACCTTTCACTGGGATGACCTCTCGCTGGAGTGGCCCTTCGCTGTTGTGACCCTTCGCTGGAGTGACCTTCCGCTGGAGTGACCTTTCGCTGGAGTGACCGTCCGTTGGAGTGACCTTTCGCCGGAGTGACCTTTCGCTGGAGTGACCCTTCGCTGGAGTGACCCTTCGCTGGAGTGACCTCTCGCTGGAGTGACCTTCCGCTGGAGTAACCGTTCGCTGGAGTGACCTTTCGCTGGAGTGACCGTTCGCTGGAGTGACCTTTCGCTGGAGTGACCGTTCCCTGGAGTGACCTTCCGCTGGAGTCACCTTCCGCTGGAGTCACCTTCCGCTGGAGTGACCTTTCGCTGGAGTGACCCTCCGCTGGAGTGACATTCCCCTTGAGTGATCTTTCGCTGGAGTGACCGTTCGCTGGAGTGACCTTCCGCTGGAGTGACCTTCCGCTGGAGTGACCTCTCGCTGGAGTGACCTTTCGCTGGAGTGACCTTTCGCTGGAGTGACCCTTCGCTGGAGTGACCTTTCGCTGGAGTGACCGTTCGCTGGAGTGACCGTTCCCTGGAGTGACCTTTCGCTGGAGTGACCTTTCGCTGGAGTGACCTTTGACTGGGATGACCTTTCGCTGGAGTGACCCTTCGCTGGAGTGACCTGCCGCTGGAGTGACCTTTCGCTGGAGTGACCTTTCGCTGGACTAACCTTTCGCTTGAGTGACCTGTCGCTGGATTGACCTTCCGCTGGAGTGCCCTTTCGCTGGAGTGATCTTTCGCTGCTGTGACCTGTCGCTGGAGTGACCGTTCGCTGGAGTGACCTGTCGCTGGACTGACCTCTCGCTGGAGTGACCTTCCGCTGGAGTGCCCTTTCGCTGGAGTGACCTCTCGCCGGAGTGACCTTTCGCTGGAGTGACCTTTCGCTGGAGTGACCCTTCGCTGGAGTGACCTTTCGCTGGAGTGACCGTTCGCTGGAGTGACCTTTCGCTGGAGTGACCTTTCGCTGGAGTGACCTTTCGCTGGAGTGACCTTTGACTGGGATGACCTTTCGCTGGAATGACCCTTCGCTGGAGTGACCTGTCGCTGGAGTGACCGGACCCCGCCCCCACAGTGCGGCGCTAGCGAAAGCGCGGCCTGCTTTAAGGCCGCGGGACGTGCCAGCCGCGAAGCGGTTGAAGCGAGCCCTCAGGAGACGATGACGATGATGGCGGCAGCGGTGCAGCCCCCCCCATTTTGCTGCTGCGCTGGCCGCACGCTCCTCCCGCCGGCGATGACACGCCAGGCGGGTCCCTCCTTCCGCCACGCGAAGCGGGCCTCGCCGCCGGTGCCGTAGGACACCGAGGCAAAGCCCAGGGTGGGCGGGCAAAAGAGGGCCCCTTTGGGCCCTGGGAGGGCTTTGAGCCCCGAAGGCTTGAGCGGGAGAGAGGAAAAGGGGAAGGGCAAGCAGAGGCAGGAGCAGGGAGAGGAGAAACCCAAGCCGACTGGGGAGGGCGGGGTCCAACCGTTTAGGTCAAACAACTAAGACCCCGCCCCCACAGTGCGGCGCTAGCGAAAGCGCGGCCTGCTTTAAGGCCGCGGGACGTGCCAGCCGCGAAGCGGTTGAAGCGAGCCCTCAGGAGACGATGACGATGATGGCGGCAGCGGTGCAGCCCCCCCCATTTTGCTGCTGCGCTGGCCGCACGCTCCTCCCGCCGGCGATGACACGCCAGGCGGGCCCCTCCTTCCGCCACGCGAAGCGGGCATCGCCGCCTTTGTTCTATAATACTGGTGCTGCTGCCAGTGCCCCTGCACACTGGCCGCCTGGCGGGTTCTACGCGCCGGCGTGCTGTGTGGGCGCCCTGATGGGCGTCACCAAAACTGGGTGCCAGGCGTTGTGTTGCCGGCACCGTCTAGGCCCGTGACGTCCCTAGTACCCAACAGCGGGGGGGGCATCAAAGTGGTCGCCGAATGGTCGCCCCTATGGTCGCCCGAATGGTCGCCAAAAACCGATATGGTAACCCATATGGTCGCCCAAATGGTCGCCAAAAATCGATATGGTAACCCATATGGTCGCCAAAATGGTCGCCAAAAAAAAAATACCACCCAATGTGGTCGCCAAGATGGTCGCCAGAAAAATAATCACAATGCCGCACGGCGGCACAACGTGATCGCCCTGAAGGAAAGATTCGAAAGCCCGCCGTCGCCTGCGTGTTCGCCCCAACAGGCATTACCGTGCCACGTGGCGAATGCTTGTCACCGCCAACATGATTCGGAGCAATACCGTCGCTGGGAGTGTTGCCCTCATGCTGGTGTCGTCTCTTCGTGTTGCCGCGTTGGTTGCACTGTGTTGTTTGTGTCGTTGGCTCTACGAGTTGTTCGAGCTGTGCCGCGCGAGCCAGTATGGTCGTGGCCGCGGCAGCGGCAGGGGTGATGACATAAAGGTTGATAGTGACAAAGGGCAGCGGCAGTGGAAGGGGCTGCTGCGATGGTAGTGGTAGTGGCCATAGTCTCTGGTTTCTGCGGCGGTGGCATTGTGAGCCGCACGAGAGCCCTGGAGTGGAGTCCGTGCTTGGCAGTGGTCATGGTCGTGATCCGTGCTGTGACACTTCCACAGGCCGCGGTGCAGCTGGAGCGGGTGGCGTCGCGCCTTGTAGGCGTGAATTGGCGCACCATTGGTGGCGGTAGGTTTGCTGGTCGTGGCTATGGTTGTTGCGAAGGTGAACGTGGGTGTTCGGGGTTGCGGTTGTGGTGGTGGCACTGCGCTCGCAGCAGCATTGCCACCAATAGCCGCTAGCAGTAGTAGCTGTGAGCCAACAAACGAAAAGGGCAAAGGGGAGGAGGAGAGGAGCGAGGAGGAAGAGGAGGAAGGGGAGGGGAGTCGCCCCTCGCCTCCCTCTTTCTTAGTCGTCCTCCCTGCTCCTTCCCTGGTCGTCCTCCCTTCCTCCCCCCCCCCTCTTCCTCCTCCTTCCTCCTCACTCCTTTCCGTCCTTCTCCTTCCTCCT